GAACTAGTTGTTCACATCGCCTCTAAATCTTTTCTCCCTTCACAGCTTAGGGACGAAACACAGATAATTTTTTCGGAATTTGACCTAGTACCGCATCCCCTGTTCACAATCACTTCCTCATTCTTTTCTTTTCACTGTTTTTCTTTTTATTATATTTGCAACGGATAAATACTGGCCAGCAGTTGGCATCAGCTCTATGGCCAACGTTTTTGTTTAAAATCTGCGAAACATTGTCTCAGAGAATCGCTGCTTCATTTCGCTACGAAATTGAAAACAAAACGAGTCGGGAAATAATAATAATAATAACTGTCTTCAGCTTATTTCTTAAATAATATTCCGATATGAAAGATTTACTGTTGTTATTGATTGCTGTTAATGAAGTGCTTCCGAGTGCTGCGCCATACATGGGCAATGGACTGTGGAGGCGCTGATTTGGGGGGCCTAAGACACAGATCAGAATTTTTTAGTTTATTGTTGCTGTCTTCAGTTCAGCTAAATACAAGCAACGGCAAAGCTTATCCGTTGCTTGTATTCAGTTGCTCAGCCTAGCCTTATTCTTTGATTTTCTTACTGTACATTCGTTTGTCTTTGGACGTTCCTGGCAGGTTTTGTACTCTGCTTGCAGTTTCTTACTTCTGTTACCACTTGTTGTACATTATCTTCCTGAACTTCGAAGACCAGTATATCACAGATTGTAAATAAATGGCCAACGCACGGGCTGCCCGTGCGAAGATGCGTTTTTTGCGTGGTTCCCCGCAGGTTTTGTTGCTACTGGGACCGGTTTTTTCGGCAAATTCTTCTAATCAAACTAAGGCTGGCCGTCAGAACTGTCAGGAAACATCCCCTTAAAATTCCAACATTCTGGCTTCCGTGGCCCCTGGGTTAACAACTTACTGGAACAAAACTTTCACGGGCCCATGCATGTTCACCAAGCATGCCTGAGAGCTGGGTTCGAGCTGAATGAAACTTAGGTGGACGGGGTATATCCTCATAAAATTACATTCCTTTAGCTTCTCAGGTAACTGAGTTATCAATTTGCACGGAAAAAATTTTGGCGGGCTCATACGCGGGTACACGCCTGCCCGGAGGCTGAGTTTCAGCCCACTAATACCAGGTTGGGCGGGGAACATTACCCCAAGATTTCAGCCTTCTAGCTTCTCAGGTCCCCGAGTTATGAGCTTACCCGGAAAAAATTTTGGCGGGCTCATACGCGGGTATCATGCTTACCCCGGGGCTGGATTTGAGCCCACTAATATCCGGTTTGACGGGAAACATTACCCCAAGGTTTCAGCCTTCTAGCTTCTCAGGTCCCCGAGTTGTGAGCTTACCCGAAAAAAATTTTGGCGGGTTCATACGCGGGTGCCACGCTTACACGGGGGCTGGGTTTGAGCCCATTAATACCCGCTTGGGCGGGGAACATTACCCCAAGATTTCAGCCTTCTAGCCTCTCAGATCTCCGAGTTGTGAGCTTGCTCGAAAAAAATTTTGGCGGGCTCATACGCGGGTACCACGCTTACTCGGGGGCTAGGTTTGAGCCCAGTTATACCCGGTTGGACTGGGAACAAAACCTCTAGATGTCAGCCTTCTAGCTTCTCAGATCCGCGAGTTATGAACTTTCGCGAAAAAAAATTTGGCGGGCTCATACGCGGGTACCACGCTTACTCAGGGACTGGATTTGAGCCCACTAATACCAGGTTGAGCGGGGAACATTACCCCAAGATTTCAGCCTCCCAGCTTCTCAGATCCACGAGCTATCAACTTACCCGAGAAAAATTTTGGCGGGCTCATGCGTGGGTATCACGCTTACTCGGGGGCTGGGTTTGAGCCCGGTTATACCCGGTTGGATTGGGAACAAACCCCCAAGTTTTCAGCCTTATAGCTTCTCAGATCCCCGAGTTATGAACTTACCCGAAAAAAAATTTGGCCGGCTCATACGCGGGTA